AAATTGATCCTCACAATCAAACTTGTCTGGTCTCTGTTACGCATTGAGATGGTCATTTCAAACTTGTCTGAGTTGAATGGCGCCAACCAACAGCTTTCAGTTCTCCTCACTTCATTGTGTGTATTGTTGAGTTATATTCATACGCCTTTGTGTATGTTGAGAATATCACCAACACTGTAAAGGTAGCCATCAGACTCAGTAGTCCTTCCCTCCCTCTGATGGCCTCCTCCCTCTTTGGTTCCTACGCAGAATGCACTTTTTCTGGCACATATACAACCAATCGGACTTTCAATGTTTCAGTCATCGTTTTTCTCTGTTTTCACAGTTGCAATTATATATATTTTGGTGCTCTGGTACATGGCAAGACATGTCGGATGTGTACTATATTTTCCTAAAGAAGAGTCACAACTAAGATTATCATGTTCATTTTGCTGTCATTTATGGTGTAGAAATAAAACACTGGTTAAAGTGAGCATAAACTGGGATTGTGTGGTGACTTCTTTGAAAACACTATTTCGTTTGAACCATTGCTAAAGAAAATGCATTTTAAAATCCTCAGCCCATAAACTGCATATGGCCTCAAACAGTTTTGATGAATGTCGTCTATAAATTAATAAGTTGCCACAGATTCACTGTGAGGGCCTTTAAAATGAAAGAGCAAATAAGTGCTGGGGTGGTTTTAAAAGAGGAGTTAATTCTATGACCCTAAATTGATAGAGTGGCGTGGAAATAAGAACGCTTTTCCTGGCACATCAATGACCTTAATGGCCTAATTTGTGAGAATGAACATCAAGCTACTGATTTTTAAAGTGCAGTTAATGTTGCATGACTGGAAAGAAACTAGATCTGAGCTTAAAGTAATAGCTTGTGGAGGGAGGTGGAAAAAGTAAATGCTTCCCAGCAGCTCACATGCAGAGAGGCATAGCCACCTTAAGTTAATGATATAAATTAGAGTAATTCATATGGGATGGACGTCTGCTGGTTCTGTGTCTGATTACCCTTCTTTCCATCTTAATATAAATATTGTTGGAGAAGATCGTGTGGCAACAGGCGATTGTGATAACAGGCCAAATGACTTGCTCCTCATCCCACAACTGCTCACAGCCATTTTAATCTGTGCCTCATTTCGCTATCATGGTAATTAATTGTGATCCAATTATTGCTCTTCTATTGTGAAACTTTATTGTAGTGGTTTGCACCACAGGGTTCTCCCCTGTGAGGTCCATGTCTATTCGGGCAGGGCACATGAGTCATGAGCTAAACCAAATCATGTCAGATCAAATCAAACCAAGATGAAATATTTCGTAAGCCGGGGCAACACATCTATTTGTGGAGCCACTGGTACATTCTACTGACCAGTCTTTCAAACCTGGGTTAAATGACTACAATGAAAATCAATCAGACTTGTTGAAGTTTTGCAGAGAGGAGTGTTGTTGTAAACTTCAGACTGCTGTGAATGGATAGAGGTGTTATTTCATAGAGTTGCAACAAGCAGATGACGTCATGAAGTGTTGGCAACGCAGGTGAACTATCTTGGTTGACAACATGGACAGAAACTGACCGCAAACATCTCAACAACCGAGATGCAGAGACGTGCCTTCCCAATGTCACGTCCAGCAAATCTCACCTGTTGTTAACAAGCTCTGGCTCTCAGTCCGTTGTTTTCTTATATGGTCTGAAAAAATAGGAGAGAGGTGTTAAATTTGTTGCTTCAGCCATGTGTCTGTGAAACAAATAGTGCTGGCCCAACATTCCTGCAGTATCGTGACTCGAAGATCATCCATTCAACATTAGTAATTGCACATTTCCCAAGGTGGGCAAAGGTAAGATGGCCATTTTCATTTGTTCTTCAAGATTTCTTGGCCTTTGAAAAGCCCAACCTACAGAGCTGGTACCAAATACAAATAGCTTTGCTGCTGGCATGGTTTAAAATCATAATAGATGCAAAGACGTGCTATAATTACCAGCAGATTCCATTCTAGAAGGACAAAATCCAAGCCCAGGATTATAATTCAGAAGAAAACCATTTTAAAAAACAAAACAAAAAACAAGATGCTGAGATAAAGCAGTTCATAACTTTGGTTTGCCGCCCAGCATGGTACTGATTTGCTTTACAGTACCACATCGTGTAGCAACGAGTCCAAAACTTAACACTTTGGCCTCAATAAAGTAAAGAAATAAAAATAAAAAAAACATCATCAGAGAGACCCATAACAATGTTACCGTGGGGTAAGTGAGGATAAAGTTGGGAAATGTAACCGCAAAAGAAAAGAGAAGTCAAACATCAGACTGGATTTTACTGCTGGAGAGTCCCCCAAAAGGAAAAATGCAAGATGGATGCAGACTGAGCTCAGTTGCTGGTATTGGTAAGTAGTAACTGATTAAAATATGAGTTTAAATTCAGGAAAAAGATATTATTATGATTCTTCTTTCTCCCTGTGCTCTTTGCTCGAAAATGTATGGAAAACAAATCTGACTTTTTTTAGTGTCTCTCAACATCCCAGTGAGACTATAACAGTATACAGCCCTATTGAAATGCTCTTTTTATATACTACATTTTAGAATTTTTCATTTCAAGTAGATTATTAAAAATTATGAGCAGGAAAACTGCCTCCTTCCCTTTCGGTGTCCCAGGTTCACATTTGGCCTGTGCATAACTTGGGCATAATTTCCTGTGGCTGGAGCATAATGGAACTATGACAGACTAACAGATCTTGCAAGTGCTAAAAAGAAACAGACAAGCTCTGTTTTTCTTCATGGAATAATCATAAAGTTAAAAGAGGATTTTGAAAGTGTTTTCCAGAATGAATTATCATTTTGGATTCTCCAACACAATATCTGCACTTCGCTGAAAAACAAATTTCAGTTACTGTTTCTGACTTCTGAGTAGACAACCACTCATACACGCAGTGACTTTCAAGTCATGAATTCTATTGGTTTTGGATGTGGGTGTTGCAACATGTGTTAAAAGTTTTAGGTTTGAACAACAACATCCTGTTCTTTGGTTTCGTCTGATATGATGTTAAACATACCACAAGTCAAGATTAAACTAGGAAGTATGGGAGGATAGTTGGAGATACAAAAGTATCCAATGTTCTGTTTACTCAGACACAGGGAGATGTATTCTCTCAAAATGTGCAACATTCCGGTTGTGTCAGTTCCATTGGTTTACCTAAGTGGATGGACTTTGATGTAAACTGAAAGGTATGAGCTTTAACAATAAAGCATTTTTAATGAACATATTACACTGGCACATCAGGAAAATAACTACCAGGTGGAAAACGAACAGTGTTCAAGACAACTGGAAAAGCTTCACAGAAAAGGATAACTTTTCATCTGCAGATGTGGCAAACAATTTTGGAATGCTTTGTTTATTGGAAGAAAATAAATGATTTTTTTCTTGTGACGATCAAGTGAGTTTGTGCCACAGCTGTTCCGATAAGAGCAACATTCAACACAGGAAATACATCAGTCCACTACTGTGACAGAGGAAACCTTTTTTTAATACATTTTTAATATTTCACATTCTTCAGAAAAAGACAAATCCACATGATAATACAGATATCTTTTTTTTTACAATTTAAAATTTACAATATAATAATTTATTATTACAATTAATAACATGAGATAAACATATTGAAAAAAGGCATTGTCTTTGTTAAATTAACATCCATGGCTTTAAAGATATGTTATCTGAAAAATTAGAGGATAAAAAGTCAGCCTTACAATCAATGATTCTTTACAGTTCAGTGTACAGTACCTCATGTATGCAACAGGATTGTTAAAAAAGATGTTTTGTTTTTATTCTGCTTTTCATTTTTTGTGAGTGTACATAAATAAAAGCAAATTCTTCTGAGAGGGAGGGACTTTTCGAAAGGCAGCCAACATACTCTGTGTCAATTTATATACAATTTTCAATCATTCATTTGACCATATCGTTACCATGTGGGGATTTTTCCCTTCTCGCAAACTCACAGAATTGTTTCCCTATATATCTTGTGATTTGTGGCACAGCGACAAAGGTTTGGTTTTACTGTCCAGTTGCTCATCATTACATCTAACCATCTGTCTTTTCTACTGGTGAGTTTATGCCAAAATGGAAATTTGTACGATCAGCATATGTTTCAGTGTGGCGGCGATACTGCATTCTTCATAATCAATCTGGGTTTCATTTTTTAACTGAATAGTTATCTTGTCAATACCAATGATTCTAGGTACAGTAAAAACAGAAAAAAAGGCAAAAATGATTCCTATATTTTAATGCTAAAACTTAAAGCTTAATCAAAAGTTTAGGATTATCGTGTTTGTCACCTACATTGTGTCTTTGCATAATTCCACCACGCTGTCAGCACTGCAATTCTGTTATCATACAAACGATGGAGATTTCAATTAAAATTAAAGTACATAGAATCTCTTTTACTGCTTTTAAATTCCTGATGCAAAGCTTATTTTTTTAATCAATGTTAACTTGAAAATAAGTGCGTGATCCTCATAATGGCTTTCACACTTCTCACTTTCTCTTTTTGATTTGAAGTAGCAAAGGCAAATAACTTACAATAGTAATATTTCCTTTTTTTTCTACATATCAGTATTCCAAGTAAGCATCAAAGCACCAAAAAGGAAACTACATTATTACATTCAAAGTATTGAAGCCAACCAGATTTCTTTTTGGCTGAAACATATTTTACAGGTTCATTTTGCAGTCTCTCATTGTTAATGTGCAATCACTGGTATGCCACAGTCAATAAATTTGTCCGCACCTGTGATTCTTCCATAATCTTCTGTCTTATTGATAAAAGATAGCTACGCAAAAGTTCCATCTTTGGTAGCTTTAAAAGAATGTCCACTCAATATTGAGTTTTTTTTGTTGTTTTTTTTGCCTCTCCTGTCCCCAGTGGCATGGGAGTCAGCCACTCCAGAAAGCAGTGGAGAGCTTCATCAACCAAAGACGTCGTTTTGCAGAAAAGGAAAAAACTGAAAAAAACGATGCGCACCTGGTCTCATCGGAGTTTGGTGTTACCATAAGTGTTGCGCTGAACAGAGATGAGCTTCTCCATGCACATGGTGCGACTGTCGTGTAAAGAGCCGTGCCACGTGCTGCCGGGGGGTCGGCCCTCTTCGCTGCGGCAGTGCACGTAGGCCATGGTGTCGGTGCGGCTCTGGATATGGCTGCTGCGTAGCAGGGAGCGGCAGTAGAGGCTGAGCTTCTCTACCCGACGGAGTATTAAGTTGGCTTTCCTGTTTGAGAGGATAAAAAACAAACAAACGCAAATACGGAATTCAGTTGAGGGAAATAATCCATTTGCAAGCAATTTCTAAATATGCAAGATAAACCATTTAATTAATTGTTCATAGGGGGTCCACTATATTTTTGAGTTTAGCTTTTACAGGCGTTCCACGTAAAACACGACAAACTGAGAAGCGGTTGCATTTATTGTGAAAAGTCTTTCATGCAACCAAAACAAATGTGGAAGCTTATCTGTTAAAGCTGGTGACCTGACCAGGGTGTGGCCCACTTCTCGCCATATTCTTGGGGTAAGGTTTGTTTGATCGAATCACTACTGTCACATGTGTGGAGGTAATGCAAGAAGCGTCTTGTTTTGAAGCTTAACTTCATAAATGAGCTACATGTCAGGTCAGAACAATTCTTTAAAAGTACCTTTCCAGGGGGAAACACTAACATACATTGTAAGAAAAAAACACCTACATTTTTAAGCTTGTTGGGATACCAATGGATATGGATACCACAATTGGGAAAACACACAGGGAGCAGTGAGAAGCACTGTCTGCTGAGCATCAACATCTGTCTTTAGTTAAGAAAGGAGCACAGACATCCTTTTCACTTATTTGCTGAAAAGGGTGAGTAGGGGGTGGGGGGGCATTTTCTCATTTCCCTTAAATTCTTACGTCTGAACAACAGAATACTAAACACATTATCAAGGAATATCAGGAAGCCTGTCGACAGATTAGAGCAATTTAAAATCACAGATCGAAAAACTGCTATAAAATGCTTGCAAAAATTCTGTTTTTTTTTTTTTTTTCTTTTTCCATGGAAACCATTGAGGTCGAAACTACAGTTTTACGGGAAATTTAAACATACGCTGCATAACTGAAGCCCAAGTAGCTGCAGCAACACAACATCACAAAGCAATCAAAGCTTTAACAGAATGCGAACCATAACTAAGAAAACTACATCATAAACAACAAAGAAAGAAAAAAAAAACTTGCGTGTGCCCAGGAAAAGTGAGGACAGTAAAGAGAAGAAATAAACAGTAATGGTGTATCACAGCATGTCTAAATCACAATACAGACGCTTGTGTTTTATTAGGAACAACAGTGGACATGTCGGGGCTCCAGGGATTCTCGGCTCTTGTGGAGTGCTGACTGGGCTTACGTTCCTCTTGGCCATTCTGTTACCTTTTAAAAGGCACCACCAATAGAGCATGCTTGTAAATTACCACAACGAGGCTTAACCCTGCCAGCTTCAAGCAGTAAATAATCCACACTCGCTCATCCAAAAGCCCCTCATCCTCACCCCCACCTTCTTGAAGTTGCCCACACACAAACACACACACACACACATACACACACTACACGCCAACACCCCCCATCCAACAAATCCAGTCGTCATTCTGAGTCCCGGTGGCCAACCTGTGCCTCCCACCCCCCTTCACCAATCAGGGAGAAGTATAATCTTCCTGCAGACCAAATTATTCCTCAATTATTATATTATTTATAGCTTGGAAGGAGTGCTTCCAGGCATTGGGGGTGGACAAACCATAACATTGGGCTGTAACTTTAGATCTTGTGTTGTTATCATCAGGGCAGGAGAAAAACTGCCATCTCAGGCTCACATGCATGAATGTTTTTGTTCTAAATATTTTTTTTAAAATGATTGTTTATGCTGCCCTTTTCACAGTTTTGTTAGTCAGTCTGCCTCTCTTTGTTCTCGTGGTGTTGTAAGGTCTCACTGTCTGTTCAAACTATCAGTGGGGGTGTCCCTGTAAAGAGGGTCATGGGTGAAGGGGGATGTCTGGGGCTATAGCATAGCTACAGATGAACGTTTTATGAGAAAGAGGAGGAAATGGAGCTGGAAGTTAAATTTGTGTTCGCTGAGTATCGCATTTACTTTGGCTTGGCTGTCAAATACTGTTTTGGCATCGTCATGGTGATGTGAGGAGCGACTGTAACTCCAGAGTTTTAATGGCGACCTTGCCCGCTTCCCATCCAGCACATGCACTTTTGGAAGTGTGTGCGCCTGCGTGTTGTGCAACGGCGCTCCTACTTCGGGGTGGTGGTGGTGGTGGTGGGGGGGCTGGCCGATAATGCCAAGAGAAATGGCTGAAGTTCAGTCAGCTTTGTCTGCTGTTATGCAAGATATCTTAGTTTGCTGCTGGCATGCAATATAATTTAACTAAAATATCAACAAAGGAATTTGGTTAGGAAGGAGCATAGTGAGAAAAAATATGAGTGCACACTCTCCAAGCAGCAGAACAACTGGTACTCATTAATCCTTAAATAGTTGGATATGGAAAGCAGAGAGCGAAACATCTTTTCATCATGCCGGAGAGAAAATATTCTTACCTGGGACCCAGCTCATCCTCACTTCGCCAGACAAAGTCGCCAAACTTATCGTAGTGTGAATTGTAGTGGTGCTGGACTCGATACAGCAGTGGAGGAGGAATCTCCATCATTATATTGTAGGCCATCTGCTGCTCCTTGCCACTGGTGTAGCCATTATACAAGTTATACACCCTGTCTGCAATTTCTGTTCAAACAGGGGCAGACCATAGGGAGTCAGATTTAATAGTAAATCAGAAATGACTCGATCGTGATGGATAAGTTAACATGAAGGATCATTAATAGCATGTCTGTGCCTCCTTTGTAGGTGACATTACAGTTAAGGCAGTGATAAAAGAGAACCTATATGAACCTTGAGCTTCCCTTTACAGTTAAACTTGATACATTCAAGTCTGTTACAAATTCACAGGAAGCATGTGAAGTATAGGTCATGCCAAAACAAATATGTTTTTTTCTAAGAGAATATTGGCAAAAGAACAAAAGAGAAAAGTCCGCTGGTCGCGCTTAAAACAATAAGATGATTATAATGATTGAAAGATGTGGAAGGTAAATAGAAAAAGCATGACTATATCATAAATCAACTAAACTAAAATGAGCATTATGTGTACAGCTCTTAATCAGATATAAATGAAACTAAATACAATATGAAGGTAAAGAAAGCTTCTGTATATTATGTGGGAAAAATAATACTCTTTGCAGTGACCCATAAAGCTTCTGTGAAAGTGGCCATACTCGTATATGGTTTGACTGTGGTTTAGGAGTAAAACTAGTGACCACGGGTTTTACTGATATTTGCTAAAGAAAATTCCAGATGTGGAATCACATCATATGTGGGGAGATTGGAAATCACAAACACAATGAACAAGAATTTTCTGAAAAGGCAAAGGAGGTAAAAGTACCTTCAGCTCGACTATCATCCACCACTGGACAGGATGTGCGCACTGAGACGAAGCTGGACTCTGAGCGGCTGCCTCGGCTATCCACTGCAAAAAGAGTAAACCTGAAAAACAACAACAACAGCTATTACAATAAATGCACATTAAATCTCCATGAAAATAATGATATAAGTAAGTATATGATACCATCAGAGTATGTATGTATGTATGTATGTATGTATGTATGTATGTATGTATGTA